CCCCTCTACCCTTTTCTCTCGCTGCATGATGATAGTCCATGACTGTTGCTCTTACTCTTTTTGGTGAATCATAGTTTGTTTTCCTTTCTGTCCTTTTTCACACTGACGTATTTACGGGATGAGGGACGATACTTCATTCCAAAAACTTGATACTCTGTGATGGCTTTTCATCAACGCCATCTGCCCCGGCGTCTGCCCGTGCGTGAGTGTCGTTGACTCTGAAGACGGACTGTTACTGTGAGATCTGTTATGAACAGAACCTTTAAAAACACCTGTGGGCGGAACACGCTGATGTAGTGTCTCAGTTCACACCACACTGAGCATATGTCAACTCATATAAATATAAATATCTACTGGTAAAAAACAAATCTATGTATTTCCAGTTCCAGGGTTGCCAGTTTGAAGACCTCTGTTCGATACAGAAAGATTTGTTGCCTTTTATCTTGACGTAACTTTCTGTTAATGAGAGGAGAATAAACCGTGAGTCCAGTTGAGTCCACTGACCTGGACGGTTGGTCAGTATTCACTGGACCATGATGATGATGTCATCACAGATCTGTTTGTTGAACCCTCTGTTATTTAGCGATTCAGACGTCGTTTCTTTAAACCCTGTGGAATCTCGTCCAAACGTTCACTCAGACACAGTGTCATTTATCAGTTTTCCTCACTGGAAACACACACTGAAAGTCAAGGTCAGAAACCCAAACATGACTAATCGTGCGTTATTCAGAGCGTCTGCGGCGCGGACCAGAGGTTAATTCTGTTGTGTCTCACGTCTGATGTTGACGCAAACCATGTGGTCTGCTCGTCCAATCAACACAGCTGTGCAAACGCTGAGGTTCACCCAAATGTGAGCACAAACTCAGATCAAGGCCGGCTTTATTTGGAGTTGTGTGTCACCCGTTCCTGAGAACATAAGCCCCTCAGCAAGACTAAAAATAAAGAGGAAAGTGGGTAGAAGTGATTGTACATGAACTGAAAAAAGAAAAACAAAAACACCAAGGAGACGTTAGCCTACGTTAGCCTACGTTAGCCTACGTTAGCCTCCCCATTGTTTGGCAGTGAGAGAAACTCCTGTCAGAAGTGTTTCCCAGCGTTTGGTCGTTGACGCCTGATATTGTTGGAAAGTCAAACACTCCGTGGTGGAAGATTGGGTTTTCTACAGGTCGCCCCGGTTCTATTTTTCTCCCACATGAGCTCGTCCAATCACAGAGCCCACAGTGGGAGCGCCGGACAGTGAAGGGTGAGGCGAGGTGAGAGAGAGAGAGAGAAAGAAAGAAAGACAGAAAGAAAGCAGGGATTTCTTATCAGGGCTGTAACAGTGTCGGGGTTTTAGCCCTGGGCCTCTGATGGGTTGGAGAGAGCTGATTATGGAGAGTGGCCTGAGGGGCTGGGGGGGGGAC